TTAAGAAATTATATTTATAAATAAATATTAAATTACATTAAAAATTAATTTAGGGTATTACAAAAAGAGTTTTATATAATTAAATAAGTATTAAAAAAATTATAAGTATAAAAAAAATTATAACTTAAATATAAAATTAATTAAAATAAGGCTTTTGAGAGCTTAATTGAAGGTAAATATCAATAATTAGAGACTTTTTTATAAATTTAAAGGATCTAAATAAATATATTTTTAAAAATAAGATCAAAGCCACAATTATTGAAAATATTGAACAGGTGGCACGAGATGAGAACGGATGGCCAAGATTTAATCGATCCAACAGCTCTTAAATGCAAATATAATCAGACGACAAAGGATGATTCCTGCCTGGATCAACGGCTGGGATAAGGAGACGAATTTAACGGCTATGATTAACTCTAATAAGATCGGACAACCATGACATAAAAAATAGAAAATAAATTAATTATAATTATAAAATAAACTACTAAATATTAATCTAAAATAAATAATAAAAAAAAAAACTGGATGAGAAACTTAGAAAAAAGAGGAATTTGGTAATAGTGTTGATTGTAAGAATCCTTAGATACCTTACCTATTTTGTCTCAATCAAAGAGGGAAGTGTGTGCATGTGTGTGGTTGGAAGGGTGAACCTGCACAAATAAATATTTATGAACGTAAGGGTCATCAAGCAAAAGTACCCGTTATAGCTAATGTGAGATTATGTGTGTTATCCATACAATAATGAGATCTTATTTGCCTCTCATCAATGAAATATTTATAGAATTAATAAAATATATTAAATTTCGTCATGATATTTTCAGAATAGGTGAATTCAGAGTAAGTACTGAACAGATAGATGATGCATGAAAATGTTCTAATCAGTATATATATATATAATTTTAGTTAACACATCATTTTATTAAATCGTACGTTTTAGCATCATGTTTTATCTATACAAATGTTGTATATATTAAAAGAGATATTCTATTTTATTTTAAATTTTTTAGCTGCGCATATAGATATTGTGTGTTGAGAATAATATGAGTAAGACCGTGTCTCGTTATTGAGGTTTAAGACATTGCAGAAGTATTTAACATTAGAGACAAAATGAGCAATAACCGGATAAGTGGAGAATGTTGGGATGAACCAGAAAATTTTAGGTAGAGACAAATTTAAATGTTGGCTAAGTACGTTCTATAGTAAGAGTAGTAGTTATGAACCCAGTTGACCATTTCCATAAAGATGGTGAAGACATGAATTTAATTGATAGAAAAAGACCCACAAGTTCTTGGGGTTATCCGCACTTGGAAGAAAAAGTAACAAAAAAATAAATAAATAAATAAATATAATGATACTTTGATTCTCTATCGCTGTATTTATTTATTAAATACGAGAGACAATTGAAATTTTTTTTTTTGAGTTAATTATTTATTAAAAAAAAAAATAGATAAGGTTAATACAAAATCAGAAAAAGAAAGCAGCTTGTAGCTTAAATCAAATTTATATTTTAGAAAAATCCAAGTGGAAGAAAAGTTCATTAAACAAAAATTCATCAAGAGCTCTCTCCCATTACTTGTCTTTCTGCTTTCTTCTTCTTGAATTCTCTCACCAAACTCAAATATATTAACCAACCTCTTTTTTCAATCCCCCTTTCCACTCTCCAAATTTTATACTTTCTAAAGTAGAAAGATCTCTCTCTAAATTTCAATCATGCGAATCTGGAATACTCCAAAAGCCAATCAACTCTCTTATTAGCCCTAGATTTAGGGTTGTTCATTTCTTGGTCTGAATAGAAGAACTGGACCAAATTATCCAGATCAAACAAAACTGAACAAGAAATATTTTAAACTGAATAATAAGATTTCATTTATGTCTGGGATTTAGTTTTTATTTTTATTTTTTAATAAAAAATTAATATATCTATTAATTTGCAGTGTGTATATACTTGATATATATTAATTCTTATTTAATTAAAATAGATCTAAAAACGGTTTAATCTATTTCTATATTGAACCAAGACCAAAAAAATTTGGTTCTATAGGACCAGACCCAACGGAAAACAGTCTGGTCTTTTAATCTAAACTCTCTCTCTCCCATCTCTGATCTCTTGCTCAATTTTGCTCTAACAAAATTCAGAAACTTTTTTCTTAATATTCTACTAGAATTGTGCATTGTATGCCCTAAACCGAAAACTGAATCAAACTTGCGTGTTAATTTTGGATTGGTCCAGTCCTCAATTCGGGAGGTCTGAAACGAACCAATCTTGATTTAGTCTTGATTTGGACTCGTCACCATAATTTAATATATTTACACACACACACACAAAAAAAAAAAAAAAAAAAAAGAGAGCCCTGTATGCTATCACAATCGTTAGGAGGATTTTGTAGTTTTCTCAGAAAAAAATAAAATAAAATCCAGCACTGGGAATCATTTTGAATCATTAAGTCAAATTTTTTCTGTAATGTTATATACAACCACTACCATTTTCACACTGGTACAGATTTGGGCGGGAAATGATTTATGTATACAGAAGAAAAGATTGACCAAAATTGGTAAAAGATGAATTACACTCTACAAGTAACTTCTTATATACTCTATTTTCACCACATCAAATCTAAAAGCTGAGCTACCCAACTCATCCCTTCTTGTTCTCTCATTTTTCTAAGCATCAATTCCCTCTCCTGCTATCTTAGAAAACACGAAAAGCAGGGGCCGAAGAAAAAGCTACGAAAAAAATATTTATATGAAAGAAAATATTTCGGGAAAGAGATAATGGCCTATGCGGAGTACCTAACTTCATCTGTCTCTAACGAGTGAATATCTTCACGACTGCCAAAACAGATCAGGATCATTGCTATATAATGAATGATCTTGAATTTCCAGGTTTGCCACATGACAATCAACAAGCCGTGCCTGGATAATTTTACACAGCACCAATCCAGAAGGAAGCATCCACCATTCACTTTCATCCCTGCATCGTCATACCATCACACAACAGATGCACAAAAGCTTCAGTGCCTACGCAAATTATTTCCGCAGTATGTATATCTATGCCTCACTGTCATCATCCAGTTAGGAAAGTAAACTTACAAGCTAAAATTCCAGGACTGAAAGCTTGAATGCTTTTTATTTGAGTGGGCTCTGTAGTGAAGAAATCCACAGATGAAGGCAGTCATCTGTTACAGAGAAATAGTTAGAATATTAAGACAAAAATACTACGTTTGATTTGACCACACAAGGGAAAATTCAAGTAAGCAATTGTAGAAATCTATCTACTTTGATTTTGATTCAGAGTGGGGACATAAACTTCACTCTATCAACCTCCAAAACTTATTTCTTTCAGCAAATGTTAGCAATACAGGCTGACTGTTAGAAACCTGATCACAAATAATCCATTAATTATGCATTGCTAGGAGCATCTAACCTATTAATTGGGGAAAATAAATACAGTGCTCGTGCAAATCATCAAAATTATTAAGAGTGGTTAAGTCTCACGGTACTAGGTCCACTCCTATCTCGGTTTAAACTCACTGAAGTAAAATTCAAATTATGGATGTCTGTTGAATATTGAAGTAAAAAAACCAAGAAAAAGACTTACAATATTGATCAAGGATGTAACATTCCATAGAGCATATACCCGTGCGAGGCCTGCTGACCTTCTAGGTCCATGACTGAACAAAGCATTGATTCCAGCTGGGAATGGAAGGAGTATGCCAAGAGGAAGAATAAATAAGACCAGACAGAAGTCCAGCAATGAAATTGAATACAGCTGTAGCAAAGTAAGCAGAACTAAGCTAAAGTCTCCTAGAAGTAGCATAGAAATGAGTAAGCCAACCAGATCCTGCAAATGACCAAATGAGCAAGTCAGACAGAATTTATCCTAAAAATTGCAGTAACATATTAGAAAAAGGAAACAAGAAGTAAATTTTATGTAAAAATGTACTTCCAATACCTGGTGACCAACAGGCTTAGAATTGCGAATAATAAAAGAGAAGGGGTAGCATATAGCCCTCTTCATTTTAGGTGTCCTTAAGCTTTTCGCATGCAGAATTCCTCCAAATATCCTTCTACATGTCATCAGATGTTCAGTTGGTCTCAAAGAATGCTGCGAATCCCTTTGATTAAATTGATGCAAACTGCAAATCATAGAAAAAAAAATAATTAAATCAAATCTTATGGCACCAAAAATTACAATAGCAAGCTAGTAGGTACCATGACTGTTCTTGGAGAAGTGAAGACCCAGCTTGGCTTCCCACTGATTGTGGCACCCTTTCATTCTTAATAGCACACACCAAGAGTCCAAACTGGCAATATCCAGAAGATGTAGGTTGCAACCAGGCAAGATCAACACATACACCATATGTGCTAAGAATGGGGTTTGCATGTGTTTCAAGCCAGCTGATGACATGACCAAATGTAATTTTAAGATGCCCATAGCGAACTAGGCGCAGTTGAGCATTCAGACCAGCAACCAGTCGATACCATATGGTTGGTGGAACAGACTGTTAAAAATTGTCAATTACAATAACAACCAGTACTTCAACACATAAGAAAACCAAGTTCCAAAAGAATAAAGGCATTCAAGCTTTCATAAAATGGAGGAACCTTATAACTAATATTGAACAAACCTGACTCATAAGGCTTGTAAGAATATTATCACTCTGAAGTGAGAAAGGAGCCATGTAACTGCCATCTCCACCAAATATTATTGACATTGGGAATCTCTGATGAAGGCGTGCAGGTAGATCAACTCTTTTCTCATCTCCACCAAGGAAAAAGTCTACATATGCAAGCATTAGATCGGCCATTGCAGCTACCTGCAATGCAACACTACGAATATTGCCATAAACAGTGCCTGTCCCTTTAAACTTAAACAAAAGGATCTACAGTAAGCTAGACTATACATAAACTTCTATGAGAAAGTATTGGCACCAGTCAATCGACAATGCTATTGCTTCCTAACGGAGGGGTGAGACCGGAAAACAGGTCTTCTATGGCAACTCTAACCTGTAGAGTGTCATATTTTCAAATTTCTTTCCCTCATACCTAAGTCTTACTCAACATATTATTGTGGCAAGAATATTACAGGAAATATTTGTTTGATATCAACCCTCATGTCCTTTATGAAATTTCAAAATTTTGAGTACCAATGGATCTGATAGTCAAAATCAGGCATTTTAAAGGTGGAAAAGTATATGATGTACACCTGTTGCATGAATAAACTTGTAATTTCAAAAAACACCAATTCCCTCTCTTATAAATCTCCGAAAAGAAACAGAATTAGCAGTATTGAAATTTTTTGGTATGAAATGAACCTTAAGCCCCTCATAGAGAGCACGTGAACGACATGAACGTAAGCAAGAATGGTCATATTCTGACCGAACAAATTCACGAAGTTGTTGCAATTTCTTTTTCCTGCATCCCTGTAACCAGGACCAAGCAAGCGGATATGCAAGGACAGAAAGGATGGTGTAGATTGATCCTTCCCACCACTGATAGGCAGCTAAACCATTAATCTCATCCACAAATCTATTGAATGCATCTTCATATCTGCCTTGCAAATGACATACCTTTAGACATCAAATCTTGTTTAACGCAAAGCCAGAGAACAAATAAAATAAAGAATCATGTTCAAGATTCAGGACAAAAAAATGGATATAATTAAATATTAGGAGTCACCACATTACCAGACATGAGGATCAGATGTGGGTAAAGAGAGCTTACACAATTTCTGTCACTTGTTCGGGAGGAGAGTGGGGAAGATGCCAAGGTTCACTAAAAGTATTTGGCCCCATAAAATACATTCTATGTACATGACTATGGGACTCCTCATTTCTGTTTGTCTCCAAAACCTGAGGATGTCAGATGTAAAACCTTCAGAAGTCTAAAAACTTCAAATGGCTTCAAATGTCAATCTTCATGTTGATCAGCATATCAGTTTAAAACAAAAAAAGATATAAGGAATGGGAACTTGACCTCATTCAATGACTCTAAGAAAGGAAAGGAATGATCTATTCGGGAGCTACGTCGAGCAGGTACTTGAGCTGGTAATTCATCCCCGCCAACATATTTCATCCTTGCAACACTAAGAACAAGAGCCAACATAACAAGAAGACCTAAAAGAATAAGACCAAACAACCATGGTCCACCAAAAGTGTAAACCAACTCTTCAAGTGTTGTGTAACAGTGTGGCATGTGATATCTGTCAGAAATGCACTTGTACGGGCAAGGACTTTCAGTGACACCACCTGTAGAAGTATAAAAGCAAATTTAAGAAAAAGATTAACTAAATAAAATAGAATCCATAATTTTTCAGGCCTTAAGATATGCAATGACCCAGCATCTATGAGAAACAACAATCATTGCTTCTCTTCCAAGCATAGAAAGTAAACCATTTAGCAGAAGAATATATATCTTTTTCATATAAAGAACCAACTTGAGGTAAATTTTAGAAGTACCCCAGTACTTCCACCATTTGTAATTGGTTTATGAACCCTACCTCGAACTTTGATGTATATAGCACGATTCGGAAGCTCGTAAGAGAGGCAACTACGACAAAGGGAGCTATCAGATCCACTGACATTCTTAAAAGTCCCAACAGGGCACTCCTGCAATATAATTTCCTCATAGGTAAATAAAACTGCCAACAGTTAAAAATAATGGGCCACTGAGAAAAAAAAAGGATACTCTGCTACTTTTTACCTATAGAAATTTGAAATATGAAGATTTTTAAAATGTTACATTATGTTCATTTGCATATTTAAGAAGTTGTTTAAAAAAGTGTTTGACCAGGAAAGGTTAAGGTCACCTAGAGTTTTCAGACTGCACTTCCTCCTAAATTAGAGAGTTTTAATGTGAAAAGCATGTTTCTTGCTCTGTGTTAACCATAGTCTCCGGTCACTTGGGCTTCAAAAAGTTCCAAAGTATCAAATGACAGAACAAAGTTGCATCGCTACCTCACAAAAGATTCCATTGAGCCCCTTTGGACAGGCCTTCCCAGTAACAGTTCCGTTTCCCCCAGTACGACCTTGACCGCTGCCAAATCCTCCCCTGCCATGGTAAAAATCAAAATTTGTTCAAAAGATCAATAATTTCAATATGAGCAAAATGACCCAAAATGAAAAGGAAGAGAAATTGGAAATTTTCCTACTAATAACCAAGAAAGTGTTGGTCTTTCTTTGAATAAACAAAAACCTAACCACCCAATATTGTACTAACCATATTGTCAGAACTACATGAATAGGTAAAGATGCCCTCAATAATAGCGGAAGAAAGATTAGCAAGACCTATCATTGCTAGATCTCTTAAAGCATCATTTTCAGACGGATAGTAATATGTAACAATTTTATAGCTGTTTCATGTTGTTCTTTCAGTCTTTTCATGTTCCAGTTCCACCCGTCTCCTCAGTGATTTACATTACAGATCTGGATCCATACGTCCATTCTCACTTTGCAAATTGTTAAAAGGATTTGAGGTCATGTTTTAGTCATGCTAAAACATCCAAAAAATTCCTTCCTGGTCAGCAAGAAATTGGGCCAAAGGGAAATTATTAGTTTCAGCATAAACAGCTTTCATGCTGACATCTGGCCAAAGTTCATGTTCACAAAAAGTCACTATTTAATTTAGAATATTTTCCAAGAATTGTATGCATTACAGAAGCAGCGAACAGGATTCAGTAATTTTAAAAACAAAATTGCAGTTTTTCCTATTTGAATATCTATAAAATGGCACTCTGGCCTTCTGGCTGACTCACATGCATCTCCTAAGTATGAATGCAATTAAGCATATGGATTCTTAACTGCACAGATAATCCATATCTTCTAAAGTTAGTAAGAGTCAATCACATAAAATCAGCAATCAGTAGCAATTACTTAGATATATTAAACTATTACCAACAAGTTTTGAAATTCATCCCCAGTGGTCACCAGTGTTGTTGTTTTTTTTTTTTTTTTTTTTGGCATCAGTCCTATTGCATAGGGCCACATCCAGAGCAACTTTCAAATCCTTCATCCCTTAGAAAGGAGCAAATAGGGATACCAGTGGGCAAAGTCCAGGTGTTGTTAGCATCGACCATTTAGCACTAGTAACTAGTTTACTCAAATGAGTGTGATGTTTATCGTAACAGCATATGACTGGCCATCTGCAGGACTACTATATTTCTTAAGTTGTGAATATCTCTATACTTTGCTTCATAAGTTATAAGATTGCTTATTGGATGAAGTTTGCATTTAAAGGTAATGACCCAGTCCATACTTCCCTCCAGATAGCTCAAGATAGATTACAAGTAAAGATTGAATTTAGTCCAAATTATGAATGTATCTTGAAATTCGTCAAACAGACATGCTATATGTTTTGTCATAATATGTTCTATTATGTGGATTAGTTGGTGCAAAGTCTCTGTGGAAAAAAGATATTTTGCACTTTTCCTGTATCTCTGGAAAAAGAATGAACTTTTATACCAGCATAACTTGAAGTGATGCCATACATGCAAACTATGAATTTTAAGATTAAAGTTTATAAGCTCTTATATATATTTTTTTTTCTGAAAGTGTGAGATCCTATGTTGGAAAAGTAACATTTTTTTTCTTAATTCTAGGAAGCACCTGCTACTTCATGGCTGAGAGTAAGATCTGCATATGTAACAATGGGTAAACATGTATAATATACCCGCAGCCTTGTTATGCTATGTTTCACTACAACAAACTACTCATCTTGAACACTGCAGAACATAATGCCAGTTTAACTGAGGATTAGACATTTATATATGAGACCCATACAAAATGTCATCTATCAGAAACCATGATTGTAATTATTATAACGCAACATAAAAAAGCATTTTTAAGTGGCTACAATTCCCTCTAGTGAGGCAAAGAGACTGGAAAAGATCCAGTATAGATTCTTACGGGGCGATATAGAAGAGAGGAGAATATTTCACCTTGTGATTTGAGACAAGGTTAAGCAATCATTACAACATAGAGGTTTGGGTTTCAGATCATTGGTGGGGTTCAATGGAGCACTTTAGCGGAAGTGTTTATGAAGATTTGTGAGGGAGAAGAAGAGTAGGGAGTAGAGTGTTAGTTGCTAAGTATGGCCTGGCAGTGGAGGTTCGTTTAGAGATCTTCCAAGAGATCCACATGGGCTCGGATTGTGGAAGAAAATTATCATGGAGATGTGCGGTTTTCAGGAGTGTGTTAAATGGAGAGTGGGCTCGGGTGATAGAGTAAGCATCTGAAGGATGAATGGGTGGAGGGGAAGGCTTTGATTCATCAATTTCCCTGTATTTTTTGCCTTCACTCGCTTCAATGAATGCCACCATTAAAAATTCCATTCTTGGCTCTGGTGGGAAAGAGGTGTAGTTCAGTTGAGTTGGTTAGAAATTTAAATGATTACAAGACCCGTGAGAAACACGAGACTGTTGAGGTTTCTCCCAGTGACGAATGTGACACAAGCATATAGAGAAAAGCCAATTGGGAAGTTGAATTCTTCAAGTGTCTTCTTGGTGAAGTCATTCTATTGGCATCTGAACAGGATGGTGCCCCAAGAAGATTGTTCAGCCAACTTGATTTGGTAGATACTGGCAACTCCTAGGGTGGCTTTCTTCATTGGGTAATAGCAGATTCATTAAGGAGGAATTACCAACTTGGAGAGGCATCCCAGGTGATGAGAGACTAAAATTTATCATTTTGGCTACCTTTTAGGCTATTTGGAAAAAGAGGAATAGAAGGCCTTTTAAGGTGACAAAATTTAATTCTGACAGGTTTAAGGACTTTTTCCAGACCCTAAGTTTTTTGTTCATAATTCACCCGTTTGCTTCTAACGAAGGTTTGGAAGATTTACTAGATATCCTATTAAAATTATAAATACTTTTCTATATGGATTTTGCACCACCTTAGTGCTTTTGGATATATTATATTTCTTTCCAAAAAAAAAACAACAAAAACCATTTTTAACTGCATTTAGATTCAGTAATAGATAGTTTATTTCAAAAGAAGAGGAAAAAGATTCAGTTATAGATGAGAAGATGACAGACGGTACAAGATGTTTGAATCAACATCTAAAATGTCACTATAAAGATAAATTAGGAAAATCTAACCATTGATAACACTACACTAAGCAAATAATCATAATAAATTTTTCTTCATAAAAAATATACACAAACCTGGTTAGGATGCTTCCGTTCACACTAGCTAGAGGTACATACTCATCCCCTGTGGAAATATCAGACCAGTGAAAGTGAACTCTTCCACCACCTCCACCACCACCGCCATTGGGACTCCCATGTCCCCCAGCTGCTGAGATAATAGCAGCCTCACCTAGCACCAGCGAACTAACAAACAAAAGAATTGTCCCACCAGCTCCACCTCCAGGGCCTATATTTGACATGATGCCACCACCTGGCTTTCTAATGTCTTCCCCAAAACTTTCTCCGTCGGCTCTAAGCGAACCATAAATATACAAACTTGAGACTGAATGTTCCAAGGAACCCATCACTGTTCAAGCAGTAAAAGCACAAAACCATAACAATTGGCCCAAAGGAAAAAAATATTTTGATCAGCTGAAAATATAATTATAAACAGCAGCAGAAAGGTTGACAGAATTTGATTAGAATCTCTCTATGGAACCTTGTGGGTATTTTTCATTTATTTACATCCCCGTTTACGCATTGACATAGTTATATTTAACATAATTTTGTTATACACTTCACTCCAATGGTATATTTTTCTCTTGCTGGCCTATTTAAATATTTATCATCAGATATTTCTCTCAAAGAAAATATTTAACATAATTTTACACATATATGTATATTGTCATTCATGAAGATTGTGAATGGGTTCAATTAATTAACATACTAAAACTCAACTGGACTGCAATCTGAAGGTATAGATATCAAGATATACTTTTGACACCTCGTAGTTGTTTGAGATTACACTTTTCAGTACCTAATTTACTACCTAATCTTCAGAAGATAAGGGAACGTTTGGGACACTACACTTTTTAGTTTCCTTTT